AGTCCCACCAATTGTTGGGTTGTGCACCTTTTGCAACTGTATCTTCTCTGTTTTTGAACAGAGACAGTGTACAACAACAGGTCATTGGGTGGCCAACCATTTTGAGTGGCTGGAGAATAGCTTTTAAGTTAAACAAGTCTATTTATTTTATTTATTAAATTTATAGGCCACCCATCTCACTACCAAAGTAATTCTGGATGGCTTACAATACAATAAAATATCAATTTGAGACCAATTTAAAATTACAAGAGATAAATATAGGCTAAAAACCAGTCTTCTCTGTCCCTTCACCAACCACCTCCAGCCTAGAGTGTCCCCATGAGGGACCCAAGTCGGCAGAGTCAAGTTTTAAGCCCTTCCGGAAAACCAGAAGAGTGGGGCTAGATCTCCCATCTGGTTGCAAGATGTTCCAAAGGGCAAGGGCCACAGCTGGAAAGGCTCTTGTCCTAGACCGCACCAGATGAATCTCCTTGGCTGATAGAGTCCCCAGTAGGCTCCTTCTGACAGAAGAAGTGGGGTGGACTACTATTTCATCTCACTGAAATCCATTATTTCATCCATTTATCCCATAGTTTATTATGTATCATATTCCAGAGAGAAGAGTTTTGGAGTTCAAGAATATGCCATGGTACAATGATGGACTGTATGCTTTTCATGTAAAAGGTACAAATGGATCAATCTTTTTCTGGACCACAGCAACATCTTAATATATTTATTAAGTCTGCAGCAACCTGCATTTAAAGCAACTCACAACAATCTTATAATTATTTGTTTCATACAGTAGGCATCTTCATCCATAGTTCTCACATCAGATTTTTATGTATTTTATTTACCTGTTAAATATACATTCCTTTACATTTTTCTTATTATTCTTATATTCAGGAAACAAAGGAGATCATTGTAGATTTCAGAAAGAGCCGGCATAATCATACTCCACTCAGTATCAAGGATGCAGCTGTAGAGGTGGTCAAAGTATTAAGTAACTGGAGGTGCAGATAGCTACCAATTTTGGTTGGTGTCTCCACACATCATCCTTAGCAAAGTATGCAAACCAGCGTCTGCATTTCCTGCATCGGATGAGGAGAGCACATTTTTCTCCTTCTGTCCTGGCCACTTTTTACAAAGGCATGATTGAAAGCATTTTAACAAACTGCATCACTGTCTGGTTTGGTGGCAACAATGCCTCAGATAGAAAGTCCATACAGGGAGTGGTAAGGACAGCCGAGAAGATCATAGAAAGCTTGCTTCCTGGTATTCAGGATGCTGCTTATAAGGGCTATGTGCTTAGACCTCAAAGCATAGCTAGAGACCCCACATACCCACTTTACGATCTGTTTCTGTTGTTTCCCTTTAGAAGGAGATTTCAAAATATTTCTAGCAGGACCACTCGATTTTGTAATGGCTTTGTTCCCTATGCCCTCCATCAGGTAAACTCGCAAGATTCGTTTTTCTCACCCTGCACATGTATACATAACCCAAAGTAGACTGTTGTTTCTCTGTATCATATAATATATGTGGGTATATGCATAATTCTGTATTTATTTATTTATTTTTGTCATATTTATGTAGTGTATATCAGAGGTGGTAACCCTTTGAGAGCTGCATGCAACAAAATTTCATTTTAATGTATGCCGATTAGTGTACATTCAAAGTTATTATTCTATTCTATTCTATTCTATTCTATTCTATTCTATTCTAACTGCCATATGAAGGGTGCTGGTTTAAACTGTGCATTAGGATTTTTCAACTGTCATCTTGGAAAGAGAAAAAAGTGTTTAGAGCAAATTTTAGTGTATGGCTTGGTAGCTATACTGGCATGTTAAATGAGGAGAGAATTGTACAGACTTCAACAATTGTTACTCTGAATGTATATATCTTTTCTACATCAATCTGTTGTGACACCAACCATTTGCATTCCAGACAAATAAATTGTTAAATTCTGTTATAACCCAGTCATTCTAAAATGTCTTCCTTTGAATTTAAAACTATTTGTGCTTCTTCTATGTTCAAACAAAAAAAAAATTCCCTTCATTCCACCTAGCTATAAATAAAATGGGGAAGAAATGCCATTTTATGCAAGAACAGAAATAATAATCATTTTTCAGCACCTTATTTAGTCAACTATGGATAACCATCTCCTAAATCTTTAAGCCTTGAGAAAGGATTCTACAAGTTTTTCTCTGTTGTTTGGACTGGCCAAGAATGGTAATTTGTTTGTTTACTCTTGGCTGTATGTTTACAAATTATGATTTGTAAGGCACAGGGAACTTTTTTCTCATTATAAAAAAACCTTGATCCTTGTTGACTACCTTTTGGAGTATAATTGGGTGAATCTTAAAATGAATGGAGAACAATTAGAAAAAAAATACTTTTAGCAAGTAACAATGGGAAAGCGCTGGGGGCACTGTAGACAGGTGCTAGATATATTTTTTTATATAATCACACCAAAGCAGTTCTTAGTTTCTGTGGCATATATCTTAATACAGCAACCATCATAGCACAATATTATGTGGCATCACCTGTTCTCGGGACTAAAGGCTGATTTCAACATCATAAATAGGAAATACAAAAAAATTGGATCCACTGAATTCAGATCAGTGCTGTGCCAACTATTTTTCTTGCTGTTTTCCCTATCATTCCCATTCAACTGGATGAGACAGAATTTGCTTTGCATTTTCCTTCCAAGGAATGGAATTTGAGGCTATGGTGTTTTAGTATTTACTGAGTTACAAGGTAACCAAGGATTGTGTGCCACCTAAGTTAAAACTGAACAGCCCTCTCTCAACAGAAGAGGAGGGATATGACACCACCTATCTACAACAAAGTTCTTTCAGCAATTCCAAGGAGGTTCCACACTATTCAGGTGACCCCAAGGGCACAGATAAACATCCAAGCAGCCTCAACACCTCTCAGAGGAAGTGCTAATGACCAGATGACTGCAAGGAATATAAATCCTTCCATTCTCCATCTTTCAGTCAGAACTGAAGAAGCTTCTTGGATGAGAAGTGAAACATCTTCAAGGAAAAAAAACAAAGAAAATCCAGTTGCCTGTTAAAAAAGCACCTTTGGGACATGAGGGAACATTTTTGATAGGAGAAGAAAACTTTCAAAAAAATGCATGGTAGAGTTTGTCAGAGGTTTAGTTCCCATACATCAGGGATGTCAAACTGCCAGCCCATGGGCGGGATGCATCATGCCAAAACCGCGCCCACCCCATTGCCGGCATGGAAAAAAAGTCATGATATGTCATGACACGTCATGTGATGTTGCGAATTTGACACCCCTGACATACATTGAAAAAGGAGAATGGAAATTAAAAGTAGAGATTCTGTAATCCTTTCTGAGACTGATTTACAATTGAACTGTCAAAGTTAACTAATTTTCCCTCTAAGAATTGGCTGAATTTATTGAGAACCCATTTATGAACTAAACCTTATTGAATTTTTATCAGCAATCAGAGTGTTTATTTCCTGGAATTTTGTGAGATGGATTCTTATTTATCTTGTGGCCCAGAAACCAACAATATTTAGAAGAACTTTCTCAAAATCAATTCATATCAGAACAAAACAAATCAAACTGGCAAGTGACACTAATAGATTATTATATCTCCTATAAACAGCTGGGAATTCTGGGAGCTGAAGCCTATACATCTCAAAGTTGCCAGTTTTGACAAACAATGGGCCAGCCTCTCTATGCATTTGATGAAATGAACTGCAGTTCACAAAAGCTTCTCCTTTTGAATAAAATTTGTTCATGGGAAAAGGTGCTGTCAGGTTCCCAAAAGTCTCTGGTACCTTAAAATAGGAGAAGAAACTTCACTGTAGACAGAATATGGGCCTCCAAAGGTCATAGAATGGGCTACCTTAAAGATTAATATATTTATTATTACATAATCGTTCCTAGTTCCAATGCAAGCTTATAAATCAACTCATTTATTGCAGCCATAAGGCCAGAAAAATGCAAGCTTATAGAAAATAAATACATTAGTCTCTAGTTGCCAGAAGTCTCTTTGTGGGAGTTGTGCTGAAAGTATTATATTTGGCCAAATTGTGCTTTATTTTATTTATTGCTTTTTGAACACAAAACTGATAGTTCTCCAGCATGATTGGATGGAGAACCCACGGATGGGTTGTCTTAATCTATCTGCTCCAATTAGACTAAGTCTGAAATTTAGTACCGCCCCCTCTGTGCCAACTGCATCCCAGTTTTAGACTTAGTCTCTTTGCCCCAAGACGCGTTTTGTCTTCGCTCCTGGAGCAGAAGACTGTTTAATTCTATTTAATTACTTAGCTCAGGCTATTATTATTATTTCTTATTTTATTATTGATTCAGAATCGATTATATCTAGAAGAAAGATCAATTATCCCAGTCTGAAGCCTATTCAGGCTGACAGACTCACAATCCTCTCCCTCTAGGGGGGGGGAAACCTTTCCCTTCTTTGTTTTCCCTCAGTTAGGGACAGCAAGATCAAATCTTTGATTTAGGTCGTTTTCAGAGCCTCATCAAGCCTGGAGGGAGCCTTCCCAGGTCCCTCGGCCCCAGCAGAAGCAGCAGGTGAGAATTTGGGCGCGGCCCAATTTTCAGAGCCGGGAGGGCCTGTCAGGCCTTGGACGACAGCTTTTCCAGCCGGCCTAATCACATGCCACCAGCTGCTTTAGGAGCCCAGGCGATTCACCTGAACGAGGGCTCGTTGCAGCTTAGACCCTAGGCCTCAAGGCCTTCTTCCAACAGCCGTTTTTTAGGGTGCAAAATTGGCGGCCGCCATTTTGAATTGCCTCCCGGCGGCCATTTTGGGTGTGGCTGAAGCCCCTGGTGGCCATTTTGTATGTGGTTGAGGCCCTCGGCGGCCATTTTGTGAGTGGCAGAAGTCACTGGTGGCCATTTTGAGTGTGCCTGAAGTCACTGGTGGCCATTTTGTGGGTGGCTGAAGTCACCGGCGGCCATTTTGTGTGGGCTGAAGCCTTGGTGGCCATTTTGAGTGTGCCTGAAGTCATCGGCGGCCATTTTGTGTGTGACTGAAGCCCTCGGAGGCCCTTTTGTGCGTGAGAAAAGGCGTTCAGGTAAGACAACGCCCCTTTTTGCATACATTTTAACTTAACGGATCTGTATCTGTTTAATGTTATATAATGGTATTCTTGTTTTATTATATTTATACAATAAATATAATTTACCATCAATAAATTCAGAAGGAATACCACTAGAAAAAGTTAAAAGGATCGCGCACCTCGGTTCTAATCTATATGAAAGCTGGGACATGACCACTGAAGTAAAGACAAGGATAGAGAAAGTTCAAACAGCATTCTTCAAAATGAAAAAGGTCTTCTGTAGTCATGACATAAGCCTAAGACTGAAAATCAGGCTTGTCAGATGCTATATTTTTTCTATCCTGCTCTATGGAGTAGAGAGTTGGTCTCTGGCAGAAGGCCACCTGAAGAGACTAGAAGCATTTGAAATGTGGATTTACAGGTGGCTGTTATATATAAGCTAGGTTGACAAGATCAGAAATGAGGAGGTGATAAGTCACCTGGGAAAGCCAAGCGAAATCATCAAAACAATTAAAAAATGAAAATTAGAATATTTCGGACATGTGATGCGACACCCAGAAAAATACGGCATATTCCATTTAATCCTCCAGGGAAAGATTGAAGGCAAATGAGGTCCAGGCAGCAGAAAACATCATGGCTTCAAAATCTAAGGGACTGGTTTGGACAAAACTCAGCAGCACTTTTTCGTGCGGCTGCTGATAAAAACATGATCGCCAACATGATCGCCAATGTCCGATAATGGATATGGCACAAGAAGGAGAAGAATAAATATAATATATTACAGTATATTCTGATTTCCCCATATCTATTTAGACAAATATGGTTGTGCTCTGTTTAATATATACTGTGTCTTTTTGTATACCTGCTGAAATTTAAAAAAAAAAAAACATTAAAGACCAACATTCTAACTTGAGAGTCAGGTTTTTCAAAATTTATGGCCAAGGCCAAAAATTTAATTTCCATATACATTTTTTGCTTTTGCTTTGCTCAAGGATATGCTTTCACATAGTTTTATTAGCTGGTTAGTTTTATAGATTCTTAATAAGCATAGTGAACCACATAACCAAGGACAAGGGATGGCATGGATGGGGGCAGTGGAGGAGGCCTAAGCTGTGACTTGTTTCACAAGCAACTGAAAACTGAGAAACTCCTGTTAATTGACTTTAATCTTATTGTTAAATATTAAAGAGCATGGCTACTAATTCAGTTTTGTAAATGGAGTGAGATGCTTTCTGGATTCTTTTCTCCAATAGCTTGCTATCTATAAAGTAATGAAATATCTGCAAGCAAATTGCCAAGCTCAGAGAGCACCACGGTTCAACCCTGAGCTATATATTTTCTCTTTTGTTGGGTCATACTTTGCCACACAAAAGATTTGGAAGGGAAAGAACCTGCTTAAGTTCCAACAATATCATTGTCTCCCTAATCAATAACTAGTCTGAAGTTTATGCGCAGTTATTGATTAGGGAGACAATGATAATTTGCTTGCAGACATTTCATTACTTTATAGATAGCAAGCTATTATATATAAAGTTGCCTACCTAAATAAATAAATGTACTGTATATGTATAAGTAGGCAGTCAATCCCACAGTGACTAGCACTTATAATGTTGCCTAGTTGGGTAATGATATATTTGCAGACAAGCAACCAGGTTCAAACCAAGAACTCCACAGAATATTAACCTCCAAATAATTCTTTTAACATTTGGTTATGCTCAATGAAAGTTCCCCAGTGATTCATTTTTCACTCCATCTGGATGTTAACTACTTTTCATCAGAAGCAAAAGAAAGTTAAAAGGACACATTCCTAGTAAATTTTCAAACAGTTTGTGGAAACTTATCTTTATTAGCCATTTGAATGGTTTTCCTTAATATTAGAGCTCTGGCTTTGTAAGAATCTCCCCTGTCTCATTTGTATTCTAATTGCAGACCAAGCTTCCAATTCACTTGGCATCTTCAAATAGGTGCACATTAACACAAGTAAAAATGTGCTGCTGCTTCTACCACAACCCAAGTATGGCTCTAGAAGAAGAGGTCTAGTGACAGATTTTGAGAAACAGCAGTGAAACTTTCCCCCCAGAAATAATGGTCTCCTAACTATGGGTCAAATACAATCTAATTCTATTTTCTGGTAGATATACCATGACTGGACTATTAATAGGTTTCATTTAGTTTGATGTTATATTATACATTCAACTACCTTAGCCACATTTTCCAGGACTATTTGTATATTCCAATTTGGTCTCGTGTTTAAGGCATCAGGCTAGAAAGTGGGAAACCACGACTTCAAGTCCTTCCTTAGCAATGAAACCAAACTGGGTGACTTTGGGCCAGTCACTCAGCCCAACCCACCTTACAAGGTTTTTGTTGTGGGGAAAATAGGAGTAAGAAGATGTGTTGTACATGTTGGCTGCCTTGAGTTATTTGTAAAAAGGATAAAAGCAGGAAAAAGCAGGAAAATCAGTCAGCCAACCAACCAACCAACCAACCAACCAACCAACCAACCAACCAACCAATCAATCAATCAAGAAAAAAGCAATATATGTGATCCATGATAGGCTTATTTCTCCAAACCTATCCTTACCTAAGGCTGCTCCCATTATATTCAATTTCTTTTTCTCTGTCTCCATTCGGACGCACAAGGCATGGCAAGGAAGAAAGAATGAGGGCACAGAAGGAATCAGAATATCTGAATGATTGAGTCATGAACGAGAAGATTATGGAAGTTAGACTAACAAGGGAAGAAAATGGCATCAGGGTTAGCTAGCATTTCTTTGCCTAAATTATAAAAATGATCACAATATAAGTTCTTGAATAGTGTCTTCCATATTTTATGATGGGGTTGGCTGATTAATTCTTGGACTTGAAGTCCATATTTCTTAAAGTTGTCAAAGTTGAGAAACAATGCTCTAAATGAACTTAAGAGAGGCCTGGGGTTCCCTGGGACAACCCTGTTCTGCCACTGACTGAGTTTCTACTATTCATTTATCCAGGGTCTTCTTTCTCACAGAACGCTCAGAACGGAGTTCTGGCACCTTTTTTGGATGGAACCTTGTAGGGTAGGCAAGGCGGGTTGTATGACATGTGTGAGTTCCGGCACCTTTTTTTTTTTTTTTTAGAAAAAAAGCACTGCATTTGTCTAACAAAGAGGGAAGACAAATCTACTCCAAAATGATAACTAGTGAGTTAAAAAAACACACAACAGAACACAACATATAAACCCTCCCCAGCACTTTTGACTGCTTACATTTTATTCTCATTGTGCCACAGATTGTTTATATTACATTTCTCTTGTTTATTGTTCCAAACCATTTTTTTAAAAAAAGTTTTCATTGGTGAAATTGGAAATGGAAGAGGTCGAGACAAACAGCACGAGGCCAAACAGCTGCCTCTTTCCTTTGCTATCTGTGTGTGAGAGTGTTTTTCGGTGCTTCTAATTATCCATGTATGGGAGTTTGGTCCAAAAGGGCAGGGTGTGTGTGGTTCTTTTTGTTCTGCTGTCTGTTGTGGTTTGGATGTTTAAATGGGACACATTTATAGTGGTTTATAGTGCATGGCAAGATGCAGTTGAAAATCAATCCATGTGTCTATGTGTATGTGATAAATGCTGTGTTCCTATGTAATAGGTGAGAGAATCAACCAGGACTCATGAATTGCATAATATGATTGATTTGGAAATGACAACTTATAGCAATTGCTTGCTTTCATGAGGTCTTGAAATATGCTTTGATGAAAGATTGAGCTGCAGTAGATCATATATTATTGATTTTTAAGACAGTGTGTTCAAAGGAACCAAAAACATTGCTATGTATTTTCCCCAGCAGCAAAATCTGAATATAGCAACATGTTATTGCTAACTTTACTTCATTGCAAAGTGGGAACGGGACTTTGCTATCAAGTTTGTGTCTTTTATGACTTAAAAATGGGGGTTTCCATTTTTGCCTGGAAGCCAGGGAGGTGCTAACACTGTTCATTTACGGCAGAGGTGTCCAAGCTTGGCAACTTTAAGACCTGTGGACTTCAACTCCCAGAATTCCCCAGCAACCATGGCTGATTGGGGAATTCTGGGAGTTGAAGTCAACAGGTGTTAAAGTTGCCAAGCTTGGACACCCCTGATGTATAGCCTCAGATGTGTTATTTATTGCATTGTGGGTTAACAGTATTATTTATGGATTGTAATCTGCATGAGTTACTGTACTTGAGAAAGTGGACACGCTGTAAACATTTAAATAAAATAATCAATCAACCAATCAATCAATCAATCAATCAATCATTTTTAACCCTTTTTTTCTCTTTTATATGTATTCCTTCCAACTTTATTGTTTCCTACAGCAAAATTACAAAAAGAAGGTACAAAGTTATGAAAAAGCAAGCTGTTTATTTCTCTTTTGTTTTTTTGGTACAGTTAGAGGTTACGATTACACGACTGATTATAGCTGCTCAACTCCAATGGGAGAGAAGCAATAAAATATTAAAGACAATAATGACAAAAACCTATATGAGTGATAATAAACTCATAAATTATAAATACAATTACTTTTATGCTTTCCTACTGAAAGAAAGTGGCTACCCAACATTCCTTGCCATGCCTTTCTGCTTTTATACTTACTCTTTAGTCAATTGCCTGAATTCACATACAAAATAATAAACAACACCCCCCCCCCTTTCTTGGGAAGCTATGGTATGGCAAACAAAACTACAACTTTTCTTCCCTGAGGGCATGCATGTTTTCACTGTAGTGGATTATATTGTTTCATTCCACTAGTCTCTTCCACTTACTTAAAATGGTTCACAAAACATTTCATTAATGCACAGTAATTCAAAACACACATGACTGGATGTCACACACAGTTTTACTCTTTCCTATATTTTTCAGGATTTTTTTCTGTATCCCCCTACCCCCAGGTTTTTTTTTTTTTTGGCTTCTATTCATCATGAGTCTGGTATTAAAACCTTTTGATTTCTGACTGAAAATGGCATCCAGGATTCTATTTGTTTTATAAAATATGGTAAGG